CCCCCCCGGGGGGGGGGGGGTCCCTTTTTGGGCTCCCGGGGGTCCCCCCCACCCTTTCCCCTTTTGGTAATGAAAACCCCTTTCCGGGGAAAACCCCGGGGTTTTCCCCCCCCTTTTTGGGGGGGGGGGGGTAAAAGTTTTAAAGGCCCCGGGCTGCCGGGTTTGGGGCCCCCCCCCCCCCCCCCCCCCCCCGTTGGTCCGGTGAGAACCCGGCGTGCTCCGTCCCGGCTTTGTAGGGATGCGAGGTCAATGGTCTAACGACTCCGGCATGCACGACTAGGAGTCCCCCCCCCCCCCCCCTCCCGGGACGTTTCTCCAGGGATTACGATTTTCATGTTCCAAAATGGTAAAGCGCTCAGACGCACCGGCTGCCTCTCTCGCTCACTACTGAGAACTGAGAACCCTGCTGAAAAATACAGATAGTGACATGCCGACACCGGAAGCAACAAGGTGGAGGCGCACAAGGCACAGGTTTGACCAGAGATTGATGTTGAATTTTTATGTTTGTGTTTTTTAGGTTCGTGTGTGACCAGTAGTCACCACGGGTTTTTGAGTACATAAACGGCACAAGTGCCTGTGAGCTGTGAGCGCTGATTTTGAAGAGAAGACCAAAAACAAAAATCGACGTTTACAGCAATCTCTGCTCGCTGTTGTCGTCGCTGCACCATGACAATGCTGCTGCAGATTTTCGTGTCCTGGCGTTATTACGACCTACTACTGCTGAATTTCGATTTGTGTAGTATGCCATCTCGAGGCGAAAGCAGTCTAATGAGGTACGAGGCTGCAATACTTCTGCAAGAGAAGAGGTACCACCGCACCTCTATCGCTTGATCGACGGGATTTTCGTCTGGGGGAACGGGAGCGATGCCTCTCCACACTTGGCTCCCTGCCCATGTTGCTTGCTGCAGCGCGTTGCGTGTAGTAAGGTACTTCTCCCTCTACCGCTCTGCTGCAGCTCGTCCTGTCCAGCACACTCAGAGCACAGAGCAATCTCCACTCCCCATACTATGCTGCTGGGATCTGGGATCAAGGGATCATTGGGATCATCGATAGGTGGGTCCGCTGCTGGGATCCAGGACCCGAACTCTCCCCTCCCGGGGTCTCTTCTACTCCCTCCATCCCGGACCCCCCCCGGGGCCCCGCGTCCCTCCTGAAACATCCAGAACTCACGTGCGTTGCATGATCTTACATGCGTGTAGCGTTCCCCGCACACACACGTGACACATTTCTCCTTCCTTAACTAACCGTCACAATGAAGTCTGTAGCCGTAACCGCCTTCCTCGCCCTCGCTGCGACGACCCATGGGTTTGTCGTGTCCCCTGCATCTACATGCGCGGCGAGACCGTCCGCGGCGGTGACGGCTCAAGCGACATCACCCTTCATGTCGCGTCGTGTGGATTCTGCACCCACGGCGTCGTCCGGAGCACTCAAGATGTCCGACTCCATGAACGATGCTCAACAACCAACACTCGAACAGGTGGTTTGGGATGTCGTGGAGCAGAAGAGCTCCCTCCGAATTGTCGGGGTGTCCTCTGACCCGCAGGCTGTATATAAGAGATCATATGTGTTTGTTTGTGCGTACGTTGTATGATGCAAGTGTTAGCAGAGCTCGTTGTTTTTTTCTGAAGTAATCCTCCACTTGCATGTTGTCTAAGCACACGAACTTGTCTGCTCTCTGCTTTTCGTCCGCCGCGCGGTGGCCCACGGTTTTCTCTTCCTTCATAGTGGCTGACGTTCGCAGAGCCCAAACTCCAGTCGACCCTGATCGCTATGTTCGCGGCGTGCAAGGAGATCGCCTACAAAATCCGTACCGCGTCGTGTGACAAGATGGCGTGTTTTAACGAATTTGGCGATGAGCAGCTGGCGATCGACGTACTTGCCAACAACGTTATCTTCGAGAACCTGAAGGCGAGCGGATGCTGCGCAACAGCCTCCTCCGAGGAGACCCCCGTCGAGGACCCCATGGGTGGCGAGGTCAGTTAGCTGGAGGTGTTGCGATTGCTGCGCATCTGTTGTGTCAGGAGACAAGCTGGTTGAACATGCTCTGCTCTCCGAAATGAGGATTATCGTCTGTGCTGTACCATGGTACAGCAGTAGTAGTACTGCTGTGGTATAGTGTCATCTCCCAACAGCAACCTGCAGCTGAGAATCGTCCACGAATGTAGTCAAATGCGCTTGTTTCTGGACACAATTGCATTCTTGGTTGGATGTAAACAAATGACGAGACTGCTATGAGGACAGGATCAATCGAACGTATTCATACCAAACATGGTGAGACACCTACAGGTAATAGCAACAGACTCGAGAGTCAACCAAAAGCACCCCACATCGGAAAAACTTGGATCGCTTACGGGCATTCCACGCAGTCGTAACGGCTCGGGTGAGCTATGCGTACTCACACTTGTAAACCGCCACAACCCCGGGGCTGTCCAGCTGTCAAGACTTTTGTTTAGTATCAGTGGTCGACCTATGCTTTGGTGGATGTGGTCTTAAATGAAGTAGGTACTCGCAAATAGGGTTGAGCGCCTCTTGTACTTAAAAAAAAACAAAAAAACGGAAAATACATCTGTGGAATGATCTCTAATATTTGTCGTTCCTTCATATCTGTGGATAAGAGATGGATTCGTTTATGTTTCTTATCAAACAGGTAGTATCAGAATATGAAAATAGACGCAAATATTCGCGGAAGACTACGTATCTGGTACGATGTGCGGTAGATACCCTTTCGAGACAATTCTCCACAGGGAGGACGATGGAATTTGCTGGACGTGAGGTTTGAAAGTGACACCTGCTGGGGAACCTGTAGTGGGGTGATGGAAAGGGGATCAGGGGGTTCCCACCTCGTCGAACGCAACCAACTTGACAACTTGATGTCGTTGTTTGGTGCGGTTTGTTGGCTTTCAGGGATACTCGGTGGCGTTCGACCCGCTCGATGGATCATCCATCATCGACACTAACTTCGCCGTGGGTACCATCTTCGGCGTGTGGCCGGGCAGCCGGCTGGTGGGCGTGAGTGGACGGGAGCTTGCAGCAGCCGGGATGGCTGTGTACGGCCCCCGAACCACCATGACAGTCGCTGGTACGGACGTTTTGCGATTTTGTTTTGCTGCATACCTAGTGTATGGTTGGCCGAGTCAACACGAACGAGCAGCTGCTCGCAATTATCTTGTAGGAATGTGCAGAATGAGAAGGTTGCCACGTTTCTTTGGTACTCGATTGTACTGTAATACGATGTGGAAGTATCTCCCACACGTCGAACGTAACATTTCGGAAGGCTTTCGCTCACTCTGAAAAAACATTCTGGTTTCTTTTGGGCGGACCTCTCTTCCTTATCAACAACAGTGGACGGCATGGACGGCTCCCACGAGTTTCTCCTAATCGACGACTTCTCTGGGCGCCACGGCCAGTGGGTGAAGACGAACAGCTTCACCACCATCGACGATGGCAAGCTGTTCGCCCCAGGCAACCTCCGGGGCACGCAGGTGAGTCATGGTCTTCGTCGAATCCAGACCGTGGTCGCAGTCCTCCTTGTTGAATTCGAGCGTGCCAAGGTTGTCTGTGTTTGTCGCAACCGTTCGGTAGTGAGCGGCACTTGTGGTATTAATAGCTTCGCCCGCCGTCGGGATGGTGTTTGGTCGCAATGTAAAAATCCGCGTTTCGTCTTGTAGATCTTCCGCGATCCCACCTAGTACTCGCACGTAGTATTTGCACTCAAAATGACCATGGGCGTACGCCTCGTACAAGAAACAGAGCATATCATGACCATTAATTACCAACTTTTATTTACTTACACGCAGGACAACGAGGGATACAACGAGCTCTTCAACTTTTACCTGGACAACAAGTACCAGCTGCGGTACACTGGGGGCATGGTGCCGGATGTAAACCAGGTACAGCATGCGAATTTTGTTTGTTGCCCTGCTCGTCGCGTGGTGTGGCTGAAGATTATTAGTGACCGGCTGGCTACGGCGAAGGAAAAGAAATAGTTGGCATTGGATTCATGGACTCAAATACTGCGACAAGCATCTGTGTCATAGATGTGTAGATGTCTGAGGCGCGTTCACCCTCATATCAAGCTAAGATTTGCGATCGAACGCTCCGTGCTATTCCATTCCTGCAGATCATGGTGAAGGGCAAAGGGATCTTCGTCAACCCTGCGTCTGCGGCTGCTCCCGCGAAGCTCAGGGTCCTGTACGAAGTTGGCCCGATCGCGTACCTGATCGAGAAGGCAGGCGGCAAGTCGTCCGATGGCGAGAACTCTGCTCTGGACATCCAGATCCCCAACACGGAGGTGAGAGAATGGAATCTTGCCATAATGTGACGACTCTTTCTTATGGTGAATCCACCATTCATGTGGTTTCGTTGTTTTTCGCTAACCATGTCAACAGTTGCGCAGCTGTTAGACGGCGCATGCATGTGCGGAGCGCTTGCGTACGTGGCGCGGCATGATTTCTGTTCTTAGGCTTGCAACAACCTCCTTGGAGTGCTTGCATTAAGCCCAGCTGGCGGGTTACAGCATGTGTGTTTGTGACTATGGGACCAACTTGTGTGGAGAGAGGTGTAAACACGATTCTAATTGGGTGAAGGGCTCGCCCCCCGTCTCTAACGGCAGCCTCAGCTGTGTTGATCATTGTGCCATGAGTTGCGGGAGGCGAAGAATGAAACCCATATTTTTCGTTGTGCGGCCGAGTAAGAGCATGCAGCTTTTTGGACATGTCTATCGACAACTACTCGGGTGCGCCGGCAAGATCTTGGCCGATTGATGTCCTGCACGGTATAAAGAGTAGAGTAAACCTGCTTCAGGGTCGACACGTTTGGCCGGCTGTATCACACGAGTTTGACGACTTCACCTGCGTTGCTGCCGGTCTCCTTGTTCTTGTTTATTGTACAGGTTCGCTCACAGGTGGCGTACGGCTCTGTGGGAGAGGTGGACCGGTTTGAGAAGTTGGTCGGCGTGAAGGCGATGGTGGCTGACGCGTAGGGAGGCAGTCATTTTTAACAGTAGAGTCATTTGGCATACGTTTGCGGGGGGGTGGGGGGTACACCGACCAGCGTGTTGCCATTTTGCATAAAGGCAGTTTACGGAGCAATTTGCTGCCCAGATGAACGTTCCCGATACGTCTAGCGGCAGATCTAGAAGTGCGAGAACGGGGGAAGACCTCTTGGTGTTTAGCGGTGCTCCTCCAAATCAAGACGCGGTCATGGAACAGTGTACGCTTGTTTCGTGTGCCACGCTGGTCGTTGTGGACTTGGTCCTAGTCTAGTGTTTGTTGAGGTTAAGGTTTTATGATTTGTTTGAAGTCATTTTTGGAGTCAAAAAGAACATGTAACCATGACCGTACTTGATTTTGTTCCCTCGACAAAAATTTTTGAGGTCAGGTGACTAGTTTGCCTCTCCTTTGATGAACGGAGAGGGCCGTGGTGAACTGCTGCATGTTAAATAGACGGTCAATGACCCACCTTCTGACTTTCTGCGATTCTGGGCGTGAAAACCGAATAATGTCTTCGGAACCCTCTCGTAACACTCGGTAGTTGTTTTTCGGGAACACTGAGCATATCGGCGTGAACCAAGTTGTCTTCCTGCGCACAACTCCCACGTAAACACTTCTCGATCGGCGGTGTCACGCAGACCACGTTTCGCTCTCTTTGCTCCGTGGCGCACCCTTTTAGCCGTAAAATATAGATCTCGAGGCGGTTTGTGCAGCACTCAACTCTGGATGTCACGAAGACCTCCATACAGGTTCTTCACGAAAAAATCATAAGTCTCACGATCTTCATGCCAACACCTGAAAGGACCTGGGCTTCGGACAAAAATCAATCGTCACGAAGCATCACTTCCAGCTGCAGAGCTCACGAAGTCACTTCGAAAATGTGCACCCCTGTCGGCGTTTCTCTTGGAGCACACACCCATCTCTCAACAGACCGGAGACGACAGGAAAACACAAAACCGTCAAGCCCGCCCAGCTGAAGTAACGAAAGTTTCCTGAATATTACTTGGTTGTATGAGTTATTTTCACCTTGTGCAATCGAAACTCCACAACATGGGTGCAGCCAGTCACACATGTAGGTGGTGGAATGCACTACACGTAAGGTCGTGGGCAGCAACAGTAGTGGACACGAACTATCGCTCACCACCCTCCATTCTGCACGAGTACACGGCAGGCTAGCACCAGTCAACGACGTGAGACAGGTGAGTTGTTGTATTTCTGCAAGCTTTGTGCGAAGCCAGAACCGCATAAACTTAAAACGAAGTCATCCAAATACAAATCCCTCCCTTGCCACGAAATTGCCGCAATGTAATGCACAGCAAATGAACGACGAGAAATTTTGGCACTATTACAGCAGTGTGGTGTACAGTACACACGAATATCATTATCACCCACAGACACCATGCAAAGACGGCAGGCCAACAACAGTCAACAACGTGAGTTATTAATTGCATACCTAAAGCTTCCACGAGAATTTTGGAATGCACAAGCGTGTGGTGGACAGTGTAAATACTACCAAGTAGCACGTACCCACCCACATCATGCACGAAAACACAGCAGGCCAGCAAAAGTCAACGACGTGAGTTGTTACATGCCTGTACGCTCAGCGTAGATGAATTCGGGACCGCATAAACCTCCAAACAAAGTCATGCCGATACACACACACCCTCCCCCCACGACATTTGCCGTGTGGGTCACGCACAGCAATTTTGGGATGCACTTGTAAGAGTGGTGGGAAGAGTGGTAAAACCAAGTATCACCGATCACCCCACAACAATATGCATGAGAACACCGCAGGCCAACAACAGTCAACGACGTACCAGATCTTGAAATGCAAAAGCCTAAGGTTAGCGTAGATGCAGCCGGAACCGCAAAATCTTCAAATAAAGTCATGCCGATACACCCACACCCTTGCCACGTCCTTTGCCGAGTGTTACTGAACAGCAAATTGATGACAATTTGGGATACACCCATAGAGTTGGTGAACAGAGAGGTCGACACCACGTATCACCATCACCCGACAACATTATGCATGAAAACGCGGCTGCCAGCAGCAGTCACCGGCGATCGAGGTACTTAAATGCAAAAGTCCAAGCTTGGCGTAGATGAAGTCGGAACCGCAGAAAGCTTCAAACAAAGTCACGCCGATACAAATCCTCACTCCTGCCACGACATTTGGCAAGAGAAAGAAACCACACGACAAATACATTTCAAACACAGCACACGCGCGAAAAAACAGAAGTTTTGTACACAGAACGCTGTTTTGCTCGATAATATCGAGCACGCACGCTAGACACTACCTGCGAAACGGGGTTACCAAAAAGTGGGTAAAGCACAACAATGCGGTTACAGATCCAACATGTAAACTCAACCTTGTCACGTTCGCTGTGTCGTAAAACAAGCCCACAGCTCGGAGACGAACGAATCGCCTAAATACATTCGCGGCCAGGGGCCTCAATCTGCTCCGCAGTTGAGCTTCCGCCAAAGGCAGCTGTCCTAAATTACGCATTTCCGATTAGACACATCGTTTCGGGTCCTGCCAGTACTAATAACCGGGAACAGCGTTAGGGTGCTTCATGTTCATCCTCCAATTGTGGTCATCGGCCGGTTCTTGGCGTTAGCAATACCATACATGTCCCCATGACCTCCAAGGGCAGCGCGTTTGCCCAACACTGCCGCCCGTACCAGAACCGATATCTCTGCATCCGACAGTCCTCCTCTAAGCGCGTCCCGGAGGCTGAGGCTTTCGTCTCCGAACAGGCAGACTTTCAAATTCCCATCCGATGTGATGCGGAGGCGATTGCAAGTACCACAGAAGTGCTCGCTCATCGACGTGATGAACCCGACCCTTGAACGGAACGAAAAGCGGTACATACAAGGTTCATGTGATGTTTTATGTTTGCTGCGCACGGGTTTTCAAAATATCCTTGGCGGCGAAAGCAACACGCAATCATTGCGTCACCTCGACACGCGCAAGTCACCATCGCTCATTTCAACCCAAGAGATATGCATACACACGGGTAGAAATGACGGGAAGTATTAGTTTCGACTGTCCTGTGCATCAAGCGCCAAGCGCCTTGGGTGTTTCTCTCGCAGAACCCATTGGTTGCGTCTATCTCGGACCCAAACGAACCCGAAATGATGTGCCGTAGTGCAAATGCCGTTGGGGAACCGCACTGTACTTGTATGTACATTCGTGTCATGTGCGGCTCCACCTCTTTCTACACCGAGTGCTTAGTCTGTTGCACTGCTGTGCGGAGAAACGAACGAGACGCAACTTCGATTTCGTTCCGTGCCTTGGAACCGGCGGTTCGCAGAGCCAATAGCACAAAAATTCTAAAGGGGGCAGGTGGTGGATGGACTACATGAGCGGCAAAAACGAAATCAAAATACCAATGTTTACCTGCCCCGGTATCCAGGAACTCGGTGCCACTTGGTGGTGTCATTGGCAGAGTCGACAGTTCTTTCGAGATCGGGATAGCGCTCCCGAATCACGTCCAGCATTGACTGCAAAACACGTCGGGCACCATGCGGAAGAAGGCGGGAGGAAGTCATGAGGCCCAAGATTGCCTGGCATGCGCCATCCACTTGTGCTGATACCGAAAACTGTTGAAATGTTACACTGCTGTGCGCAGCCGGAGTTGGCTTTGCCAGTAAAACCAATCGTAACGCAATACCAGGCCAATAAACGACAAACCTCCATAGGTTTACCGTCTTATTGAGCGCAGTTAGACCACTCCACCTGTAAAACATAGAATATAGCAGACGGAGAAAGGACAGCACAGCTGCAGTGTACAGCATTGGGCACATCACTTGCTCCAGCAGAGGGACGGTCATGGCCGTCGTGAAACACACTCTAATTTACACATTTCCATGCGGTCTTTGCTTGGCCAGGAAACAGAAACTCACACCGAGGAAGCACCGGGCATGGACCGAGGCAGGCGTACACCAAAACGAAACAACGGAAAATGAATTCAGGGAGGAGACTTGTTGGAAACAGTATTGTTCACGACATATCCAAAGTGTACCGAAACAAAACCAAACCAGACATCTGGCGCCGGCTGTGCAAGGCAGCGGTTACATGATTCGCGCTGGGATACTGAAGGTTGCCGTCTATGGTTACTGTGGGAAGTTCAGCGTTGTGGGAGACCGTGCAGCGCTCGACAGCAGCAGACACATCTCAAGGGTAAAACGAAGCTGTCTAGTTGGCGTGGGACCCGCTGGCCATGAAGATGAGCAACCTGGCGGTACACATGTGTAGCAGCTATAACGCTGATGAGTTTTCGTCATGCCTGGTAGGAGAAGAACTTGGCGTCCTTCCACCGGTTGTCGTCGAAAGGCATCCATTCGATAAATCGAACGTCAATCTCCTGATCGCGCGTGAACTCTAAGAAGTCCGCCAGTTCGTCCGTGTTGACACCGTTCATCACGACGCAGTTGATCTTCAGCCTGCCATCATTGCATCAGCGTCACGAAAGTCGTGCAACAAGTCAACCAACAGGGAGGGGGTCTACTCCAACGAGGCTCGATACGATTCGATGAAGCGGTGCAAGTGGCCACGCACAAGCGCATCCCTACAGACGCTTGGACATCAACAGTGCACGCGTACTAATCAAACTCTCACCTTCCCCCGTACCCATGAGCTAGCGCTGCATCCAACGACGCCAACACTGTGTCGAGGCCCTTTCTACGAGTGATGGCAGCAAAGCGGTCTGGCTGCAGCGTGTCCAGGCTCACCTGACGCATCCAAAACAAAGCAAACAGAGACGCGGACGTTGGGCTTCACTGACGAGATGACCGGAAAACAAGTTGTAATGCTGCCGATGTTCAATGCAACACACGAAGCGGTGATTCGCAAGAGGGCAAAGCACCGTCAGTGCAGCACTAGGTCAAACATGAAAACACTCACGTTGATGTGGGTGAGGCCTGCCTCACGTAGAGCAGGAATCTTCCGCTTGAGATTGATCCCGTTTGTAGTCACCCCGACGTTGCGCACGCCTTCCAATGAGCTCAGCGCCCGTACAATGTCAGGCAGGTCTTTCCGTACCAACGGCTGTTAAGAAACCGGCCGATATTTTTTAACGCGGCGATCGAAGACGAACGTCAACACGCGCTCATAAATCATGCAAACACGCCACTTTCAACTTGTATAGCGAAGCGGCGCTATTGCACGCCAGCCAGGACAGCAATGCCAGGCTGTGAAGCAAACCGTGTGTGCTGGTGCACCGGCTCGAAAACCAAAAAGGAATTCTCGGTACACGCGTCTGATACCGGAGCACTTTCCACGTCAAAATGGTCAAACAAAGCACAGGTTGTGCGGTACAGGACATGCGAGTTGAGCTCACGGCAGTGCGGCGCGTGGTCGATAGTACTGCGCATTCTAGGGCGCAACCCACCTCGCCACCGGTAAGTCGGATCTTGTCAACCCCCGCATCGACAAACATGCTCGCCAACCTCAGTATCTCCTGCTGGTTAATCATTTTTGATTGGGGCTGCAAGTCGACCCCATCTTCAGGCATGCAGTACACGCATCTCAAGTTGCACCTGCGAGGAAGTGTAAACACGATAAGGAAATAAAATGACACGATAAGGAATTACATATTTGAACCTTCAAGGTATAACTTGTAACTGTCCACAGACGAGAGCAACCGTCACACACCAACCGAAAGATACCTCGAGCAGTCCCCAAGAGAAGCCACACTAAGGAAACGTGGGGCGACCGTGGTGACTATTGTAAGGTATCTCGTACCATTCCAGTCCCCTGCACTAAAACGTGAACAGCACGTCCCTCGTCGTGAGGAATCGCTGGGGTCATTATCTAATGGATGTTCGTGAATAAACCACCGCTTCCCCAGGGTGGAAGGTTAACATGCTGTTCGCAACAAAACAAAGTTCCGCTTACCTCTCCGTGAGAGATATGCGGAGATAGTTGTGATGGCGACCATGCGTGTCTGACAGCATGCTGTGTTCGTGGCCAGGAGGTGGTCGGACGGCGCCTTCGGTGCGCCTGGCGAGCATAGTCTCCGCCTCGCGGGCGACGCGCTCCGCGTCGGCGAGTTGCGCAGCTAGTTGGCGCATTGATTCCACGGAGAGCGCTGGTAGGTCGACTGTGCAGCATGCAACGAGCAGAGTGATTGTAGGGCATGGGTGAGGGCCAAACTCAAAGCAAGGTTCTTCAACAACCGATGATGGTGAAGATGTGAAGATGTTTATACGCTCCAACTACAAACACATGCACCATTGCTCGCCACTTTAATGGTGGTGGAGGATACACTGCTGTAGCGACTACAATAATCATAAAAAAAACTTACTGCAACGAAACAACAGCAACATCGGGAGGATGTCCTTTTCGTGTCAGAGACGATAGTTGGAATGGGCGCCTGCCGGCATTGGTGATGCCTCATTGTGTGGGTTTTGTTTGCCATCCCGCTATAGTTTGGTCGCCAACGCATGGTATATCATATGCCAGGAATTGCCCCGCCTCGAATCGTCTGAAGCCCTGAAGTCGGCCCCCTCTTCGCTCACCCCCAAAGCGAGCGAGACAGGAGCGGTGAGAAACAAGGAGAGATATGACACGGAAATCTATGCTAGGCACGCACAGCTAACAGACAGCCAGGATGGCAGCAGAAGAAAAAGGATTGCATGTACTATGTGTATTCTGCAACATTGTCGAATACGAACGCCCAAAGCCGCCATTGCTCACCGAATGGATCGTACCTTTTCGGTGATCCGTGAAAACTTTCCAAGGTTTCCCCTCCCGGAGCGGGGCGGGGGTCTATGCGTCTGGAATTTTCGTTGGCGCATACTCTTTTGACAATAAAAATGAACCGTAGATTTGCCTCCCTAGCTCTTGTCTTCGAAAACGTGAGCAGTTCTTTTGTTGTATTCACAACAGAATCTGATTCCCTGTAAGGCCTTTAGGGCAACTCTTATGGAAGGTCTGCATTTTGTCTGAAAACCACAGAATCATGTGGAAATATCCAGCTCAAATAGGACGAAAACAACAGAGAGCAGCTGCGATTTTTGAGATAACCCTTGTGGTCGGAAGAGGAAAAACACTGGCTTTGACTCGACGCACCACCAACAAACTGACGGTTGGTTCCTTTCGAACCACCACACACAACAGACGTCAACAGCGGCACAGTGGCTTACGCCGTACAATCGGGCGGGATGCACACACACACATACCTGCTCTAGTAGCACCATATCATCATATTGTAAATGCAGCAGTAGCGATGCAATGACCTACTGCTACTGCTGTGCCCTTTTTTGCCTTTGAGAAAGGGTGTCACATGTTGTCGATTGGTGGATAATCGGTGTATTCAAGATCAGCAGAGGGTCGACACACACGTCCAACATCTGACATGTATCCTCACACGGGTGCATGGGTGCAGTTGGTGCCGCGGGCGCGCCACAACGCCTGCACAACGACCTCAAACCCAAATCCCCGCCAAAAATTCCCGCTGGGATTTGGGCCTCCAAATCGCAGGGGGCAAGGCGATTCCGGGGTATCTGCGATTTGAAATCCCCGTTTTTCGGCAAATAACAGTACCATAAGGAGTGGTATGTCTTGTCAGCCTGACTACAAACCCAAATCTCATGAACTGCAGACCTTCCATAAGAATTGGTCTTAAGAACCTTTTTGGACGCACCAGCCGGGGTCACTGAAGAGCTAATTTTTCTTTGTCTCCCTCGTCCTTGTGCGGTGCTTGCCTTCTGTCTTCAAAGGGTTGAGCCGTCCCTTTTGCTCGTTGATCGTGAAATTGACCTTTGACAAAGCACGAATACCGCAATCCCGTGAGAACACGCCCAGCATAGCGCCTACAAGTTTTCCGTGAACAAAATGCGCTGGCGCGTTCTCGCAGTTACGGGAGCGATCGTCGCACAAACCAAAACGCCCCGGGGGCGGAAAGCTCCACCCAGAGGTGTACTTTCTTTTTTCCGGTCGAGGCACGCCCTGGATACGCACACAAGGTTACACCGGGACTGGGGGTGGCATCTGTGTTGTCCAGAGAGACGCGGCTGGAACTGTAGCCTGTTTCGTAGTCGACCTCTTCACTTTTTTGTTTTCGGTGCTGCTTAATTGTGGCCTTCGTCTGAGTTACTGCTGTCTGACCAAGTTTCAAAGAAAGCGGTGCACGTACACAGTTGGCAAGAGCGTCTCGTGATGGTTGGCAACTCTTGCGGCGCCTTTCGACATGTACAGGCGTTGCGCACCCCAGCAGACTCGTGACAACGACTCTCGTGTGTTTGTCGGCAGGAGTATCGTCCGTGGTGGTGCTCCATAATAATATTAAGTCATTGATAGGACGGTTTCGATTTGATAAACATCATACGGAAACAATAACACCAACATTGCTGGGAAATGAATGGCTTTGTCATAGCACGCGCCGGGGGGTGCCTAAACTCATTTTGAAAAGAGAGTTATTGTAGCTCACGTGACTGCGCCGAGATCCAAATTCACGCCCCCGCACATCGAATAAACGCCAACGCCCGTCCGAAGAAAAAGAGAAGAGGCAACGAGTATTCTACAGGTAGGTGGTGGATGTTCAACGACGGCGGTGGCAAGTCTGGATAGGAAATGGTTCAACCCGTCATTGAAACTAAAACGAAATTAACCACATGGCTTTGGCCGGGGTAACTCTGGCGGCACGTACACCCCGGCCAAGTAGGGGTGTGCAGACTCTCTCGTTGGATTTTGCCTTGATTGGTCATGCTTTGTTCTATATTGTTGTTGCCGAGCGGGGGCGGTGGGCTCTCTTTCATTGGGTCTGGATGTATACATTTCTTGTTTTCTTTGGCGGGTTCGATCGCCTCCCTGTTTTGTGTCATCTGCTATGGCGTTTGTTTGAAGATTTTTTAGTCCATATTTTTCGCTTGATTCCTAAAAGTGTGCACCCTTTTGGGGTAGATGGCTTGTGACCACGGAAGGCGCCAGCAACAGTTGGATCGGTACGGATGTTCGAAGGCGCTGCGCAGAGACCGAATCGGTTTTTCCAAGTAAGACAACAACAACTGCTGTCCGCCCGCTATACAAGATGATCGCATAACTGGTCTTCTTGAGCCTGAAAAACCATAGGGGAGACAAAATTCAAGACCATGTTTCTTCGCGAGGATATCTTGGACTGATATGATATACTAGTATATGAGAAGGTTGACGAGTGTCTGTTCAGAAAAAAAAATCCAAAGTCAGATCCAACAGTGACTGCAGACTGCAACCTTTCGCATCGCAAAAAGGCCAAACATGTGGTTGAAGGTTCCAGAAAATAGTTCAATGTTCCAGAAAATAGTTGAGTGTTCCCAGTAAATGCTTGGTATGGTCCTTTGCTCTCGTATTCCACTCCCGGGGGCACAAGCAGGCAACTACGGTAGCGGGGGGCCTACAGACTACCAGACACATGTTTTGGTTTCTGGAAAAACTCATCTACACGCACAAAAATCACGGGGGCAATCATCATGCACCCAACCAATTGCTGCAGCATGTATCGGAATCGCTTTGTTCGTGGAGACGCGACGTCAAGGAGAAGCCGACTTCTGTCTTGAGATACGCATACACGTCTAATCGAGATACAACACCAACGCAGCCTTTCATTCCAAAAGACCATCGGCCTCCTGTCCGTCTCCTCGAAATTACACGAGAGCGATGGCAGAAAATTCCATCCAAACCTTGGACATGCGGGGGGGTACGATATACGTGCAGGACCTGGCAAATTGCCACCGAGATCAACCAATCCTCCACATAGTTTCCCACCAACTTTTAAGAGAACTCAACGAAGTATTTACCCGGTCACACATGAACGACCTTGAAGAGAGGTGCAAGCACAGACAGGTTCGCGGTTGCTTTCGCATTAACATATGGCGCCGGATGAAATCGGCCAACTTCCTTGCAGATCACTCCCGCGCTCATTGCTTTGCCCGAGGCTCTTGTTGTGTTTTAGTTTCTCCGTGGGGGAACCCAACATCGACGCTGGTTGCTGCCATAGTTAGGTCTAGGTAGGACCCAACATCGACTCTGGTTAGGTTGCTGTTCTTCGGGTCAAGTGCTAGGCTTGTACCAGGTCGTACGTATGTACATGAATCCTTTGATATTTTGAGTGTTGAGGCTCACTCTCTCAGCGGCCAATTTCTGAAAGGGAGTGGCTCTACTTCGGGATTTTTCAGTACAATACGCCGAAACAAATGTGGGAAGTGATTGTTTCAAATGATTACGTGCCAAATTCGACTTCACGGTCGACGAGGGAAAAGAACGGCGGAATCCTTCGATAAAAACCATGGCAGCAACCAGCGCAGGAGGAATGTGGGAGAAAACATCCTGCGTGGCCTTCTGTGTGACCCAGGCTCGTGCATCAAGAAAATTTACCGCAGGTGCATTACCATCTCATTTCAATAGTTTTGTGACGTCCGAATAATGAGACGACACACACAAACAAGTGTGAGCGTGGCAAGCACCGCGAACGCAAAAAGGCCCGTATGCCTACAGCAGTACATGTACACACACCAGGAGGCGGCGTTGGGATGTCGTCAGCCACCATCGCTGCAAAATCTTGCAATCTTGTGTCCGTGCTCCGAGCACGTGCAGGCCGACACAAGCTATTCGTATTTTCTTCAACATGTGCGATGCATTTCTTATTGGTACGTTAGTGACACGCCCTCGCAAACCAATGCTTGCATATGGAGTCATATATGGAGTAAGTGCACACAGCAGCCATGCACGTGGAATTGAAAACTCGGGAGTTTACTGCTGTGCTGCGGACCACTTCACATGCCCTGAAGATCTACACCGATGTATGCATACAATAGCTTGCCACACTATGCTACAATCCACTAACGTTGCTGCTGTTGTACATGAAATGCAGAGGCTCTCCTCCTCATGACATTGGGCTGAACTTCCACAATATCCAGGTGCGCTCGCTCTTGTGGGTTTTTAGAAGATGATTTTTCCATCCTGTTGCCGTTGCTGCAAGTGGAAGAGTGGACGCTGTCGTCTTAAATTTACAAGTCCAACAAAAAATAGTCAAAGCGACAACGAAGCGACAAGAGTGCATGTTTTCTCTCTGAACGGTTGTAGGATCTATCCGACGGCGAAGGCCTTCGGACTACTACTGATAGGAAGGAAGTGCATAATTTGATCTCCCCAGATGGGAAGGTCTCTGATTCTCGAAAATCTGCGACGCCGAACACCTCCTTCACCGATGCCATTCTTCGTTCCAGGGAAGCGGCAATTGATGCAACAAGAAAACGACACCACGTGTGCGAATTTCTTACAACGTGACCAACAAAGTAAACCACATGTAGGGAAAAGATAGACTTTCACGACGCAAACAAGGGCGAGCCTACCTACTTCCGACCTTCTTGTGGCTTCTAGGCTTCATCGCGAGGAAGGAAACTATGCGTCGTCAGCAGAAAGGAAAGGAGGCGCGTCATACACCTATTGTCATGTTTGGCAATCCTCTTGGGTGGATGCACAAGAGCGTACCAAACTGCAGCTAGTCGATTGCTCTGCCTCCTGTTGTCGGCAAGCCCATATACAACACCTTCCCTACGCAATATGGCGGTATATTCTCCATATTCGCGCCGGATGTGCCAGTCCCGGGGGAGGGAGATTAACCGGGGAAAGGGGAGACAGCGCCAAGAGAGTGAGGAGGAGTTCGCCGCGTACCTTGCTTGGACGATCTCTTCGCCTTTTGGTCTCCATCTCCAGCCGAGAAGGATTCAACGAAATAGGCCAGACCCGGTCCTTCAGGTACCCTTCTTGTTCGCGGCGCAGAGACTCTAGCAGCCCTTACTGCAACGGATGTCGAAGACAGGCTCCTCGCGACCAAGGCCGATATTTTTGGGAGTCGTGACATGATTTCGACGGTGAGTGCGGTGTCGGGCTTCATTCATTACAGATTCGTTTTTTTTTTTTTCTCGGAGAACATCGGTACGGACCCCCCCCCCCCCCCCTCGTGCATTGCCTGGGCATCCCGGTCACCACGTATGTCTGTGTATGATCATACATACTTCATGTACAGCAAGCAGTACAACCACGCTTACAATACAACAGGCGCTAGACACCCGGATGACTGCGCGCTTGTGTGTCGTAGCCCTTACGTTTGCATCGCTCGCGGTCTTATCGCCATGTGCAGCATTCTTGCTAGCGAGTAGAGGGAGAGCACCACCAGGAACTAGATGCAAGCCGGCTCCAAGCCGAAATAGTTGCGCGGCGGCACTACCCGCCACAACGAAGGTGAGTACACATGATTGATGAACACGACTAAATAGTGTAGCAGCAATCGTACATAGTAACGTGTCACAAAAATCCTGCCACGTGATTGTACGATAGCTTACAACAGGATGACCCATTGGGTCTCCGGGTCAAATTGATGTGCTGCTGTGTACAGCCAGCAGGACACGCACACACAACAATAATGAAGGCACACACGCAGCGAGCAGCCAGCAGGAGATCGTTGTGGTATGCGTTTGCGACTAATAAATGTAGTGTTGCTTGTTGGCCCGTTGCCCCACCGGAGCGCCGCACAGGAGAATAGGTTTGATGAAAATATGGCACACCACGAAGTGACCGTTGGGTGCAGTACAGGGAGAATCTGTCGTTTCATTACTGGTAGAATAAAAGTATAGGACGAATCCATTCCTGACCAACGTACAATATGTACAACAACAGCAGTTATCTCGAACGTCTCACTACTGCTGTGTTTGTTCTAAATATGCAAGTATGCACAGAACCCAGCAAATCGGCTACATTCGTACGTACTGACGTACTGACGTACTGACGGAGGAATCTCCAGCACAATGCACTGCCGCCGGCAGAATGAACACTGGTGGAAGACAGAGCCCACCGGGCAGCACGGTGTGGGAAGTGGCAGGAGCACAGCAGTTCAAACAGAGCCAGTCCTATCAGTGGTACCTCTGTTTCTCAAGGTTTGAACCGCGTGTGTGAGATCTCCGCCTTTGTTCCCCCTGTATGTCGACAACTCCCGGGATCAGGGGGAGGTATCTCCCAAGAACTTTCGGGACAAACGGCTGTGCAACACGGCCATCTTTTGTCGGAGCACCACCAAACCGGTGTGATGCCCTATTTTCTTCCTTCTTAAGCCAACAGATAGTCAATCGGTGCTCTACAGGTCTTGTTTGGGTCAAAAAGGAGGATTACCTAATTAGGCTTCCTCGTAGTCAAGTTTGGGCCACGGCATCGCGTTTGAACAGGCCGATATTTTTTTGGAGCCTGTATTTCCCTGCTGGGATGAAGGAGGAAAAGGTCGCGGCTTGCCGCCCCGCGAGAAGACATGACACCCGTTGAGAAAGAGGGGTGACCGAGACCCCAATACGAAGAGCAGGAGGGAGTGCGTCAAATATTTTTTCATCTCCGAATGACTTCCTTCATTCGCACGCCTGTGCCATGGGGGGTTGTGTGGTGCGCGCTTTTTTGGGCGCCAACTCAACCATGGGTTTGCCTGAGTCCGCGCACACGACAGAAAGCACGCTGACGAATGCACGCGTACACAGCAGTAGCGGATACAGCAGTTCTAAGATGATTTATCGAAGACAAACTACGAACGTGAGAGAGACAAAGTGGTTTGTTTGTCCCGCCATGATCGATAACACGAAATAATTTGTCTTAAATCCTGTCGGGTTGTGTTCTCTTTAATCGAACCCCGACGAAAGAAGGACAACATATCAAACACGCCCAGAGCCGCCAACACCATGCCCTGCGCAACGGGCAGCCGCTGCTTTTGCTTCCCCGACCACACGCCAGCCCCACCAGACTTCATCAGGAACCCATGCAGGGTCTGCGGAGGCCACCTCCTCTCGGGGGCGTAGTTTTCTGCACCAGCGTTGATAGGCGCTCACTGGTCTTTAGTTTGGTTTTTTTTTGTATGCATTGTTCACCACTCTGTTGTTGGCGTTTATTGTTTGGCTGTGTCGAGCCGGCCCATGGTGCTGACGCAGCTGGAAGGGTTTTTTCGTTACTTTTTGTGTCCTCCATGAGCTCTCACGGCAATGTCCGAAGTTTCCCGCATGTCTCCTATCCGCCAACCATTCCACCCCACAACAAATTAATTATGGGGAATCAAACTGATGCTCCAGACTTGCTTGTGCGCATGGTCGACTGCATTCGAGAAAATGGATCCATCCTTGTGTGTGTTCGTGAAGAGAGGGGTGCTAGCGATAGTGAGAGAGAGCACTGCACCCTGATGGGTGGTGATTCGCATTGTTGCATTAAATTTCACCCGGGTGGTCTAGTTGGTATCCTCGAAACCTTCTAGAGGTCAGGTCAGGGGTCCGAATCCCGGCGTAAGCGAGCTTTTCTTGCAAAGTGAGTTTTTCTCTCGCTTCCGCTCCTGGCCTAGTGGATAGCGCTAGTTCGCGTGTACACAGAGGGAAGAGAGTGCTGAACTCTTCTCGCATTAAAAATCGCAGGCAAAGTACCGCAGAAGGGGAGGATAGAGAGGGGCTCTTCTGTGTTACCACGGGTTGGAGTGAACGGCACTAGTGCTGTGAGCGCTGATTTGAAGTGAAGACAAAAAAAAAAAATCATGGTTGTTCATGGTTGATGTTGATGCCATGACTACACATGTTGCGAGCGCGTTTGACGAGCAAGCATTTTGAGTGCGGGGATTACTGCGGACCGCTGTATCGACCGCATGTCCAATGCCAACAAAACAGGGGGCAAGGGGTGCTAGAGAGATAGGGAGAGTATCAGACCTGACGGGGTGGTTGCGCGTGGATGGTCATGTGCAGTAAGTACTTTTGTTGTTGTTCGCGTGCATGCACACTCGCAGGCACCACGTTTTCAGAGCATCAACGAGAGGAGAGGAGCCAGATCAGGGCATAGAGAGCAGACGGACGGGTAGAGGCGTGCGGTGTTAAAACAGCACCAAAAAACACATGTTTTAACGTGTCACCTGCGACAGCAGTATTGTACAACTCACGTGTTTTCAGCAGAGGAGCACCCGGGAGGTGGTGCTCGATTTTTGGTGAATATTAGTAAGCGTGATCATTTCACCAACGACAGTGACAACGACGACGGCGACGATGACAACCGAAGCAACAACAAGTTGCGGGATGTGTGGGTTGACTTGCTGTGAATGGCCTGGAGGCGTCCCCACATTGTCAGGCGGAAAAATCCCCAGGGCGTTCTCGTTATTTTGGCAGCAGTCTCAAAAGATTTTTGGGTGCTTCCTTGGCGAGTTGAACGAATCGAAAGCAGCACGCCCATCTCTTGCCAGAGCACAACGTAACATGGGCGACGGGTCGTGTCCTAATGAACGCTTCCGCGAATGCAGGAACGTCAATACCGGGTTTCCGGTAGGCCTCGTTCAAGGGCGTACCCTTTCGAACTTTATTTTATCTACGGCTTGGGTCATAACCCATGGAGCTCTAACCAACTTTACACGTCCCAGATAACGCTGTCGGATTTGATTATTGTTTTGTTTTCCAGTTTGTTTCGTTTCCCATCTGGAAACGAACGTATGCGTCCACAACTTGATGCAAGTAGATCAGACTGACATAGACCTATAGACGGATTTCCTACAGGCTGAGGGCTCACGAGATCGCAGGAAAGGCAATCCTGATGATCTCGTGAGCCTAGAGCCGTTATTTCGAGGTTTCTCCGCCCGTTGACCTCGCCTCGAAGCGAGACTTGCACCTACCGATAGCCCTGTGTTGCGAGGGCCCTCCCGGCGTGCCGTGCGCTCTCGGGGCGGACTGGGTGCAGCGCTAGCGAGGGCAGAACGTCGCGTCTCCGACATCTACCATGGATCCACCAATCACACCCCGATTTCTTGACAGTGCAGGCCACTCATACATACATTCGGCAAGCGGCTGACGTGGATTGTGCGTGTGCGCTGGCTACACACCACACACCCTGCCACACACGACAACCAAGCCACCAAGTCTCCGCATGAGACGAGAAAAGTACTCTACTGCTGTAGTACGTCTCCCTTTTGATCCAGGCGAAAGGTGGGGGAGTTAGCGGCCAGTGTCGTGCGCACAGCTGTCTGCAAAACTACACCCGCCCGAGAAAAAAAAAATGAAATACGTTGTTTGTTCCTCCGTTTCATGGAAATACTTTTTTTTTTTCCCGGAAATATCTTCTGGATACCTGCCGCTCTTCTACAGCAGCAGTTTATTGTAGAGCGGCTACCGGGACATCCTCCGCATCCCACCAACACACACCAACACACGAACTTCTGCAGTCATCTGACTCCCAAAACCCTCTAGCAGAACATATAGAAATACTACTGCTGCTGTGGGTTTCCATATTTTCATAAATCGGCAGAAAAAGTTGTCTGCTTTTCTCTGCTTTTGCTTACACACAACGTGCTGCAAAAACTAAAAAGACTACCGTATGCATACGTAATGATTTGCGCTGCTTTTCCTCGCCTCCCGTACTCAACCCCGATTCTCATCACCGACGGCTGTACATCAGATCACATACGAAGACCGCACACCCGAGAAGTAGCGAACTTTATTCAGCAACAACGTCTCGCTGAGGGGGTGGGTAGCACATGGGAGAGAGGGGAGGAAGAGAGAGAAAAGCTGGTTGCTTGATGTTTCTTTCTTAGTTTAATTATTCGACACACTCCCCCCCCAGTAACCCCTCTCGTGTCTTATGAATAGTAGAGCATTTTAGGGGTCGCTCCTCTGTTTTCTTACTGAGACGTTTCTTCTATGGTGTGGCCCAGGTTGAGCTATTATGTTACGTAACCCTATTTTCCTACTTTTTTCGTGGAAAGTGAGCCTTTGTTTCTGAAAAACAAACTTCTTACTCCGAGCAATTAAATACTCTGTCCTCCGGCCGTCGCGTAACATATGAATATAGTCATTGTGCGTCTCTGCTCTTCGAACAAACAAAATTTTCCCTCTTCGCAGCATTTTTTCTTCGTATATCTCATTTCAAAACTCCACCCGCACACACTTGCCATCGCCATTGAACCTACGAGCGTAGCGGCGACCGCGAAGCGGTACGCCACGAAGCGCCCTTGTATTATTTACAAATATAAACAATACGGTACGAACGCTCCCACTGCGACCAACCGTTGAAGGTATTATACCATATTGCTGTTGCCACCCCCAATCTTTCTGTGTCGATTAGCGTGTTGGATACGTCTCATTTCTCTTGCGCTATCGTAAAACACCGCACGGTCTCCTTTGGCATTTGGTGCCATGATCGTGTCGATTGTTTCTGATCCTACTATTTGAAGCACTGGCATTGATACACTGGTAGATTGAACGATAAGACACACCGATACGCCGCCCGGGAAATACATGTTGTACAGTAGCAAAGAGCGGGATGCCCGACCTAAATAGCAAAGTGGCTCACCCACTAAAAATAGCAAGGCCAGTACCACCCATTCGGTCGCCCTCACTCCAGTTGGGCAACCCTAGCTGGATTTTATGATGCTCCTCTATTCGGTAATATCAGAGATGTACGCTGCCCATCTCCGGAAACACCCGTATCACCCCGAAGCGTGCGCGAGTGAGAGAGACTATTGTCGCACCGGAGAATGTGGATTCTGAGTGTGAGTGACTAAACGACGACGGTAGTGAGAATACTCGTGTAGAGTATTTAGAGCGTGACTCCGACACATAGTCTCTATCCGATGTTATGGTATCGTTGAGAGACGTATAGATGGTGGCCCGAACTCGAGTCAACCGACGTACAACGCTTGTGACGACAGCAGTTTAGGGGTTGACGCGCAAAGGGTCACCGCGCACAGAAAAAAGTGTTTGTTTTCTAAAGCGGCAAGCCTCAACACTCCTAATCCCTATCTGTTGATCGTGTGCCCAATCCCCTCTGTTATACATCCCTGAGCAGGTCGACATTACGCCGGACTTGGTTAGGAAGACGGCGATGCTGGCCCAAATTCAGGTTTCTGACGAGGAGGCAAGTCGTATCCTTAGGAGACTACTCCATGCCTTACGCGATGCCTAGTCTGAGGTTGCTGGCTCATCAGCTCACGCGGACCACCGCATTCGGTTGCGTTCTTTAGCCGCAGTGGGTTTTCATTCGAGTGCGGCAAAGGCGCCAAGATTAGTTAGCACACATCCAAGAGTAGAGAGTCTTATGCTCGCCACAGCCCGCTGTAAACGCCGAAACTACGCACGCTATCTTTCAGAGGGATGATTCGAACTTCTGTTCCACCCTGTCCAACGTGGAAAACCTGCTCGATAATTTTTTTCTATTCTATCGGAGGACTGTTGTTGGACGATGCAGCCGCGGGGCTCACCCACTACTACCGTACCCAATGCACGGCTTGACAGGTTGACGTCCTGGCACCGCGAATGGAAGAGTTTCTGGGCTTTGTGGAAACGATGAAGGAGGTCGCCGAAGCTAGTGACGGCGCTTTCGCCACGTTAAACTGCGGCAGTGATTTTCTCAGAGAAGACTCGGCAGATAGATTTTCGAACGTGGCAGCTATCATGGAGAATATGCCCATCGAAGAAGGGAACTATCTCCGTGTCCCGAAAGTCGGAGAAGACGAAGGATAGTTTCATGGAGAAGATACACAAACGTGTAGCCTGCCGATATCAGCCAATTGGAGAAGTTTACGCCTGGGCTTGTGACCATCTTCGAGGGAGTTTCCTTCTTTTTCTCTGGGCAGAAAGCTTTCGCCGCTTGATTTGTTCGGGCGTGTTGAGCCCTCCGACAAGAACCGAGTTTAACCAGTGCACGTTCCGTGCCACGGACGCGGAGTGTAGCTTCTCCACCGGTTGTTCCACGCGCCCCGGGGTTCTCCCCGCTCGCTGTCGTTTGACACGCGTGGACCAGGGCAGGTCACACGTTCATGCGAACACGCGAGCGGTAAGATAAGCACTCGCAAGGGGCCCTTCGCAGTCGTATGTGTTGCGTTGTTTATGCGCTGGTGGTTGAACGGCAGTCCTGCGATCTTTGCGCAAACTGGAACGAACGCGGAGGGTACGGTGCATGTCTTGAGATGTGCGCTTGTTCCATGTCGAGTCCCATATCCCGATGAGCACGTGTGGCAAGTGCATTTGCCTACCAAGTGCAATCTGAGTTTCACAGCTGGGTGGTTGTATTCACGTAACCATACACGTGGTAGAACATATGTGTATCCTCAGTCTAGACGGACGGCGAGCAGAACGTTGATCTACCGCTTTTTCCCGTTTCGATACGAAAACACGCAGCGTGTACATAGTAGTGGAGAGAGGAGAACGACCCCCACCGCACCTGTGGCTCTGCAGACACGAGTTGTGGAGCGAGTTGTTGCCGCGCGGTATGCCGGGTTGGCTCATGGCGTGCGGTAGCCCAGTCCACCCTCCGTCGCCACCGTCACGTAAACCTCTCCTATCGTCGCCGCTCCCATCAACGGTGGTGCCGCTGCTCCGTTCGTAAGTGCGTGCGTCCCGGTCGTCCGCCGCCGCGGGGAACTCATGACTGCCGGTCCCCCTCTCGCCGCCGGTGTTGCTGCCGATGCTGCCGCTCCCGCCACGAGAGTCTGCTGCCCGGCCGTCTCCCCCACCGCCGCCGCGGGGAAAACCCTGCCGCCGGGGGTCACCACTCTCGCCGCCGGTGCTGCTACCGATGGTAACGCTCTAGCCGCGAGTGCTTGCACCCCGACCGTCCCGACGGCCTGCATCGCGGGGAACACATGATTGCCGGTGGTCCCTCTTCTCGCCGCCGGTGCTGCTGCCGATGCTGCCGCTCCCGCCACGAGAGCCTGCTGCCCGGTCGTCTCCCCCACCGCCGCCGCGGGGAAAACTCTGCCGCCGGGGGTCACCACTCTCGCCGCCGGTGCTGCTACCGATGGTACCGCTCTAGCCGCGAGTGCCTACACCCCGGCCGTCCCGACGGCCGGCGTCGCGGGGAACACATGATTGCCGGTTGTCCCTCCTCTCGCCGCCGGTGCTGCTGCCGATGCTGCCGCTCCCGCCACGAATGCCTGCGGCCCGGCCGTCTCCCCCCGCCGCCGCGGGGAAACCCTGCCGCCAGGGGTCACCACTCTCGTCCCTGATACAGCTACCGATGGTGCCGCGCCCTCCGCGAGTCCCTGCACCCCGCCGTCTCCCCCTGTCAGCCCATCGGGGAGAACTACCTGAGGCGTTTTTTCGTGCGATTCTTTCTCGCGTTTACTTCATCTTTTTGTAGTATCCTATCGTCGTAGGTTTCTTCGGATTTACAGTAGTTCTTTGGCCTTGTCATCGTCGGCACCATACATAGTTGTTTCAGGGTCTTCATCGCGGTCTGGACGCCTTCATTCTTCAGTCACTTTGGTTTTGCTGTGTTCGTGCTCGAGCAGTTGCGGCTTCCCGTAAAGAAAACAAGGAAAGCTTCAGACAGGCAACGCCAACGAAACTCGTCGAGGAGTTGCACATAAATGGCCACCAGCACAGACAAAATAACGCGCCCTCCCAGTAAAGCTGCAACCGGAAAGCCCCAAAACCTTTGGAACCCCCGGGGGCGATGATCGTTCGGTTTTTTTTCGCCAGCCCCTCCCTCAGACTTCTCTGGGCGTTGGTTTGTCACTCGCTACATAGACTGCCTTATTGTGCGAGTCTATACAAGTCTTTTTGGCTGTCCACGGGTATGCACAGCACAACCATTGGCAGCCATGCCAACAACGTTGTTGTCGCCGGCATCGAGGGTTCGTTCCAACGCAAGGGTAGAGGCGGAAAGAGTACAACTCCCGCCTAGATTTTTTCTAGAACTACTCCTGGTTAGAAATCGATCTACATAAATAGGTCGTGAGTAAAGAAACTTCGGCCTCACAGTCGACGAGGGAAAGGGATGGCTGAACCCTTCTCGCGATAAAAACGAAGGCAAGCACCACAGGGGGGAAAGTGGGGCAATATAGCAAATTTAATACAAGTAAAAAATGAAATAAAGCTCCTCGGTGACCTTCCTCTTGCGTGACCCCGGCTGACACGTCAGGTATAAACTGTAGTCTACGCCGAAAGGCCTGTAAACACACACACACACTCCGTATATCTTTCCAATTTCCCAGGTATGCTCCACGCTGCACTGCTGTTGCTACAATATGCCGATGCATGCCCTTTTATTGTAGAAACTGCTGTCAGTCGTACACAAAGAGAGGTGATGTGTTGAAATACTTCCAGTAAAGTTGAGTGACATCTCGCCTACTACTATTTCTATCTACTGCTTCGACGCGGCAGTTTATTTACGGCAGTGTCTACCGGGCGCCCCGGTAGTAGTCTAGTTGGTATCCTCGAAAACCTTCTACTGTAGTGTGTACATCGTGTGGCAAGGGGGTTCCAATCCCGTCTATACAAGTGAAGACCAAAAAAAAAAGTGTCGGTGGTTTGTCCCCCCTACCTCTGAGTATGTCCCGAGGCGTTATCGCCCCATTGACAGTCTCGCGTCAGCAGAAAACGGACGAAGAGTAAAAGATACCACAAGCGGGGGCGAGGGCTTAGACTACTGCCTTGTGTTTGGCTGGCTTTCTGCATTCGACCCACATAACCGTTGTACCTCCACCTAAGGCATGTCCCAAGAAAGGGAGGGTATCGGACCCCATGCCATGTGGGGTTGTACACCTGCCCAAGATCTCCTGCGAGACTCCCCGCTGAAAGGACAGGTGGGGCGTCTATCTTAGAAAGATACTGCGCGCAGCCCAAAGGAATTTGTATTTCGCTCAGTCTATGCAAAGGAAGGACTTTCCTTACCACGTGGTGATTCCTTGCGGTAACCCGGTACTGCACATGCTGCTGCCCTTTCGCGCTTTGACGTCTTGCCTCCAGGCTAACATTCTGATCTGCCAACCTGGCGACATAGGGCATGTTCTGAGGACAATCGGCACGCGAAGGGGGCACCCTCAGCACACGATCCACGTAAGCATTCCTCCACGAGGTGTGCTAATTGAAGATCCAGCGAGCCATCTAGCTGTTGCTCCAGTATCCTGTCTACCGGTATTTCAGTGCTACAGCATGACACCAAAGTTCTTGATGTGTGATCTGCTTGGCGCTTTTTTCGTTGAACTGGACCGCTCTTGCCAACAGCTGTACATATGGGAACGCCAGATCGAGGTGCTGGCGCGCCATCTACTTCTTTTGCAGGTCGCGCAGGATTGGGAATTGCCGATACGGCAGAGAGCCAATGTCTTTCTCGAGATATTCGGGAATTGCTTAGTCCAGGTGACTATGTGTGACGGTTGTGTTGTACATAGAATGTTCGAAATTGGAAATAGTACATGGTTGGGTCTTCACAAAAAAGAGCCATGTCAAGGTTCTCGACAAATCGATGTACTCTCTACCACTGTGAAGCAGTCTACCAAGTGTGAAGATAAGAGGGCCCAGCACCAATTGATCGAGCTAAGACCCATCCTAGCGGGGAAAAGATCTTGGCCAGATATCTCGTGTTTTTCGATATTTTGGCAAATTACAAATTACCTCGCGAGCGACTCCGAATCGCCTTGTCTATCTTCGAGAACAACTGCAGCAGCCGGTCTCGGCAGGCCGTCAGTTGAAGTGGTCGAAAGTTTGATTTTTTCAAGAAAGCAAGATTGAAATTGCTTCGAATTGACCAGAACAGGCCAAGATCGCCCGTTCCATGCCAATCTTGCGCATTTTTTACTGAAAAGGGGACAATCTCTTGTTCTACTAGTACAAAATTAACCTTTCTGAGAACGTCAGAGCAGGTCGGTGATATGCCAAGACCTCAATGAGAGCTACAGCTGGTCCTCAAGAGCGGGTAGGTCAATCGGAGCCGTCCGCGAGGTACCGCCCCAAGGGTCGAAAACACAAGCTTTTTCGCCAACAAGATTTTCCCCTCAGAAGATGGGAACATTTTTCACATGTTTCGTGAGATGTCTTCCTTGTTCTTTGGGCTGCCGAATGGGACTTTTGATCTCCTCAACACCGTTCCCCTCTATCTATCTTCCCCGTACATCATACAGGAACAACTACGTAGAGTAACTCCAATCGTTCCTGCTCGTGCTACACCAAACTTCTTTTCCCAACTCACTTCGCATTCCCCCTTCGGTTTCCAATTTCTTGGGGTATTGTTACGATGGCGCCTGGACGAAGCTGTGTCTCGTTACCTCATCGCCTTGTTTTTTTTGTGCGAATTGAGGTCAATTTCTGCATACAACATTTGTTTGCGTGCCGCACCTGACAGTAAAGTACAATGTTGATCACATCGCAACCCTCCTCTCCGTTCGACGGCTTCTTGTGCGTGTGCGACATGGTTCCATCCATTTGGTGATGGACGCATGCATATGCTAATCACGTATGCCTTGCAGCTGGGTTTCTGTGAAACTCTATTTTGAAACGCCATGTAGTCAAATATATGCGTTCTCGGTACGTCTACATGGGTGGCACAAACATTACAGGATCGTACCAGCCGCTACATTGCTCGCCTAGGGAAGGAACTAGTGGGCATGCTATTCTCGACAGAGGACGTGCCTGACATACTGGATCTCTCACTACTCAAGAACAGAGAGAGAGACCAGCTTGAAGAGGTTTTCAAATCATGGCGCTGTGATGTGCCTTGCAACGGTGAGTAGCTCTCGACTCGGAAGACACGATACGTTGTTTCCATTTGATGTTGATAACACATACTTGTTGCCGACGACGCCGCACGTACATATGTTCATTCTCTGCTGATATGCTTCGATTTCTGTATATATTGCACAGAGTTGGGAAGGTGTAAACCAACAGTTCGTTTTTGCCTGCAATATATTGACGATGTTGTGAACAGCCCCAGGAACATCGGCCATGGACACACAGCACTTCAAGGATATATTCGCCCTCTTTTTCGCATTCCGGCAGTGACGGCCCTTCGCGATGCCCGCCTTAGGAACTTCTTCGGTGTGCGATACGACCATCGCAAGAACTTGGTCGACTGGGACTACACCAATCGGCTAAAACAAGTTGCGAGTATCATCCACCATACCCAGTACAGGTGAGCCAAGATGGAAAACACAGACTACAAGTTTCGGACTTATTTTACCAGAACTTCAGAATATGATCTTCGCGAGGTGAGCTCCATGGCTAGTTCCCACGTTACATGTTGACATCGTGTTACCATGTTGAAAATCATTATCGTTGCTCAGGAGCTGGCGCTTGGAAGGTATCGCGTACGAGTTCGGGGACCAAGTCTATGACAAGCCTAACCGCACTATGGTCAGTTACGCCGAGGGGATGATGGTCAAGGGTGAACACCGAGGCCTGAAGAAGGAGATGAGGTCAGGAGAGAAGCGCGTGGCACCGAATTGATGATTTGTCTCAATTCCGTGGCGTGGCCTGGCCATTGCCTCTGTCAAGTTCCACCTCCACACGGTATTAGGGGAGTCGAGCTTATAAAAAACCGTCGTGAACCTCACAAAACGGCTGTTCGCAGGGGTTTCTGGCTGGACATCCGCGTTGGTCCGTTCATCACTTTCGGAGTAGACTGCGACCGGCCGAACCCATTCGCTGAGGAGCTGTTCAACGTTCTTAATAAAGGCACAGGTGCGCATGACTCTCCAGAAAAATCAAGCACGTCCCCAACACAAATCGTCGTTTCACATGTGCCACATAAGTATTGTCAGTGTGGGTTGCACCCGTGGCGTGGCACAAGCTAATTCACCCAAGCTATACTTTGCCCGAGGGTCTATTCTTATCAACACGAGTGTAGACGGAGAGATCTTGAACTGTTGTCTGTGCCTCGGGAATCGTGCACTCATTCGGGGATGTCGGTGGGCTCCCTCATTTCACTCGTTCGTTGCTGCAGGGACGGAACAACACAGGCACAACACGGCTGAAGTGGCTGTCTACTCGACAATATCCTACTTGTGGGGACTGGAAACGCGAGGACACTACGCCATGACGAAGGTTGGCAAAATTCCCTAGAGCCGAAATGAATACTTACAGGGCAATGGCATTTCCGAGCTTGCTATTGTACGAAATAGCTCTTCCTAGAGCATTGGCATTGTATTAGTAGTGCGGTCGGCGAAAGATACACCTAAGTACAACTTGACTGCCGCCCTGATATCCTTCCTAGGTCCAGTAACGTTCATATACCATTTGTCATTGATTTGCAACGCGTTTGGAACTACTACTTGTAGTATTGCTCTTAGCCTGTGACCACGAAAGGCGTGATGCTGTCTCATAACAACACCAACGACATCATGACACCGACAACGCCAAAACACAATCTCCTATAGTTGTCGTTGTTGCTGCTGTGAGGCTATCGTGCTGATGCCGGCCTGTTTTTCTTCCAGAAAAACGACATCTACAGTGGCCTTGGCGACGATTCCAGCACTGTCCTGGATTTGAAGAACACCCATGAACAACGCAAAATGCAAAAAGTAGTAAAGGCAGGGGAAA